TATTGTTATAATAAAACATCACGATGAGAATTTTATCTTGCGAAATTAACAAAGTACCAGTTAAAACTATACTAGATATCTCCAGCAATTGTAATCTTATAGGCAGGGGTTTAGTAGATGTACTAGGCTTAGAGATTGATATTTCCCATAAAAAAGAAGCAAAACTATTAATCCCTTTTCCATCTGAAAAATCGCCGAATAATTTAGATGCAATAGCATCCTCACATTGTGAGACTATAGAAGATAGCATGACAATATTGGGAATGGTTCATAAAATAAACCCTTCTTTCCGGTCTAAAAATAATTAATAAATGGAAACAGGTGGAAGTTAACGATATTTTAGTTCCTAATAAATCCGAATTTGCACATGTACTGTTATTAGGTTCACCATGGATCCAGGCAAATATCTCGGAAATGAATTTTCCCAATCATACTCTCACACTGCTTGATGGAACCGATGTATTATTGGATATTTCACGAGAGCTCCCGCCACCAAAACAAATATCCATACCAGTAAAAGAATATTATAAGATGGTGAAATATTACATAACAGCATTGGGTGTAAATAATAACGAAATATACCTTAAGGAACACTTCCTCTGCGGATTGTCTCGTGATAACCAGTTAGAAGCCAGAAGATGTGGAACAGACCTGTCGTTAGATGAGCTGGTTACAAAGTTAAGCGTGGTTGAGAATATCCGGAAAATGCATAGTATATATACCTAAAATTAAATTATCCGAATATTAGTTATTTTTTCCGATTAAAGATATATAATATATAATTTAAGAATGGTACAACTATTGCGGAGCAGGCCGTTAGGTGATGAATCGGAGATTCGAGACTCTGTCTCTTCAAAGAATCATAACCCAAAGGGTCTGGCACGTAAGTGCCCTCACTTTGTGAGAAATATTTTTGATTTACCGGAATTACTAGAACAGATCTTATATTTTTTAGAAATCGATCGATCCCTCTATCCCGCTCTGCTTGTTAACCACCTTTGGTATCACTGCGGTGCTCCTATTCTATGGCGTCGTATTGATAGTAGAGCAGTTCTTATTTCTACAATCAATAATTATATCAGAGAGTCTGTTGCAATTATTCCTAATCATTCATCATGGGTTACAAATAATTATATTTAGTATCAGAGAATGGGTAATTCTTCTACATCTAGTTCGGAAATAGAAATTATACATATTAACGTAAATTACATCACCCTTCAAAATAAGCCAATTAGATTCGGTTAAACCAGAATAATTATCAATCAATCACATCATGGGTGGGAACGACATAGAAATTCATAGAACATGCGTAATTACGTAAGTGTATTATATATGATAATCGTTATTTTTTCGCTCGGAAATACCTTAACATTACACATGGTTTTACGATAAGGGCGAGTGAAAACGAACCTCGAAAAGGCAATAAGTGTAAATAGCCCGTTGATTCTTATCAGCACCGTTACCAGAAAATGTTAGTTATGGGACTTTAGAATCTCCGCAATTCCGGATCATCGTTGTGTTAACCGATTTCGTTGCGATCGTCGGGCTAAAGGGTCCCATTCATGTGTCTATGACTCATTGCTCCGCATATTCACAGGCCTTGGCGTTTAGTTACATATAACAATACTTTCTATGGAGGTTGAGGAGCGTAGCTCTTTTCCTAGAAAATCGTAACAAGTTCGGAGATCTCTCTATTTCTGGTATTTATATGATTTCAATATTCTATAAATCGGAGATTCGCTTGATAAAGTTTGGATCATTCTAG